GATGATGCAGTATGGATGCAATCCTGATATGATCAGCTGAACTTAATAGAGGAAAAGAGATTGAAAGCCATTCATCATGGTCAAGTCTACCAGAAACGAATAATTCGAGCACATAATAAGAAGGTGCGCCCAAGAGTATTCCGTGAAGGAGATCTTGTGCTAAAGAGAATTTGTCCAATTCATAAAGACTTCAGAGGAAAATGGATGCCAAATTGGGAGGCAACTTATATCGTGAAAAAGGCCTTCTCCGAAGGAGCACTTGTCATGGCTGAAATGGATGGGCCGGAACTGCCAAATCCCGTCAATTCAGATGCATTAAAGAAATACTTCACTTAGGATAAAAACCCGAGAGGGCGTCATAAGTCAAAAAAGAAAAAAGAAAAAAATGAAGAAAAAATGTTTAGGGTGAAAACCTAAAAGAGCGCCCTAAATTGAAAAGAAAAAGAAAATAAAAAGGAAAAAGAAAACTTGAAAAACGAAAAAAGAAAAGAAAATAAGGTGGGTCCAAGATGAAAACCCGAAAAGGGCGTCTTGAAACCAATGATGGGTCCAGGTTGAAAATGCGAAAGGGCGATTTGGACAATTCAGAAAAGGTCCAATCCAGACAGTGAAGCATCCCGACATCTGAATCTTCTATAGACTTAACGAGTCGTAGAAAGGTTGCACTCTCCTGAACATTGTCGCATCTTCGAAGATCCCTTGACAAAGGTTGCATTCAAGATCATTTAACGACTTATCAGTTCAGAAGCGCCCGCATTATTGAGATCTAAGACATCCATTCATACTTCATTTATGTATTTACCTTTCAGAATGTTTGGTATGTATTGTTTGTTCTTTCTTCCCTTAGGAATAAAGACGACCATTTCTCTAAATTAATTCATTTTGAGCATCTTGGGTTGAATTTAAACCTAATGATTTATTCACTTCTGAAAAGATAATTGCATATTACTGTACAAAGAAGTACAGATATTTGGAAGCCGATCAAAGCTCATGCACTATACTTGAGATGATTGGAAAGTGTTTCCCAAATCAAGGATAAAGAATAAAATTCTGCACATCATATTTAAATGTGTCGAAGAATTCAAGATTAAGAATCGGAAATTCAAGATTCTAGAGTCAAGATTCATCAAGAATAACAATCGGAGATTGAGATTTCTCTCCAGATCCTAAAGTAAAATATTTCACATATGCATTTTAGGCACACCTAAGAGCATTGCATTCATAGCATCGCATGTATGCATAACTTTGCAGATTCCTGTTAGAGTCAATTTTCAACTTCACAGCGAAGGATATTGAACTCAAATTGATCAATTTACAAGAAGGGATTTCAACTTCACAAAGAATGATATCCAATTCAAAGCTCAACTTCACAACGAAGGAGCCCTCCACGATTTCAACTTCACGAAGAATGATATCGTGCCCAATGGATCGACTCAATTTCACAGCAAATGAGTCATCTGCAACAACAGGGGTTTATTCCCCAACCATGTACAACATAACTCGAAGCCGAGAAGAGTTATCTATCAATAAGAACTTTCGAGATCGATTTCGTTCAGCTCGAGAGCACATTTATCGCAAGTAGCAACAATGAACTACTTTCCGGCCAAATTTTCTCACCAAGGTCTTTAAGTCGAGAAGAAGACCAAGGTTGACCAAGGTTGACCAAGTTGGCAACAAACTTATGATTTCGACTTTACAATGAAGGAGTCATCTATAACACAACAAGAAAAAACAAGTTTCATGCAAAAGTTTTAAGGTCAAGTTTCACGACGAAATGTATTGGGCTAGAAGATGATCCAGGAGCTACTTTCCAATACTTTAAGCTCGGTTTCAACTTCACGACAAAGGATATCGTGTTCAGTTCAACTCAACCCCATGGCGGGGAGTCATTTGTAATTCATACCAAATCGGCTGTAACAAATCAATCATCGGATTCCAACTCTACGACAGAGGATATTCGATAAGATGGAAATCAACTTCCATAACAGAGGATGTTAAATTTTACATTCATGATGGACGAAATTGATGTCTTTTAATCTTTTCCCTATTTTCGTTACACGATAATGGGCACAGAGGGCAGGTGTAGACACACTATTTCGTCCCACTTTATGTGATATTTATATCATGTGATTTATATCATATGGTATACACGTTATATATTACATATTTATAATATATATATATATATATATATATATATTACATTTATGTTTATAATATTGAACACATATATATATTACTCATTTTATTACATGTTTAGGCCCAAACACAAGTACAAATTACGGTCCAACATTACACACCAAACCCGTCAAGCAGCCTAGGACCAGTGGACCCGAATACAATCTGGAACCCGACCCGAAACCCGGTTCAGACTCGAACTGGCCAATCCTTCACTTGATGTAAATTAGGATTTTCCAACCCTAATCTTTTCTCTCCTCAGCATCGCCAAACACACAGGGACCATCCAACCAAATCAAGGACTCTTGGATAGTCCTCACGCCTCACACCACCATCATCGGAATCCTCAACATCAAGTCAAGCAACACAAAAACAGTTTAGGAGGACTTTAAAATCGAAAAATTTGAGTCCAAGTGGGAATCTAAACTGATCTAAAAATAGCCAATCTCAGGGCTATAAATCAGTGTAAATCACATAATAACACACACAAGGAGATCAGTGAGAAAATATACAAATAAAAGACATAAGAGATCGAAGCAAACTTGTATTGTTCGAAAGCAATAAAAAAAGGTATTTTTTACCTTGTTCGGCTTTTTCACTTGCATGCAATCTTATATTTGTATTTGTTGTTTCTTTTTTCTATTTTTTGACTCGAAAATCACCGAAAATGAATCTGGCCGATGATCGGGGGAGGGTAACTGAGATCTTTCTTCTAAGATCTAGCCCTCCCCGAGGCCATTTTGTGAAAACTACATGGATCTTCGAAAAGAGGGTGGAAAGGGCTTTCGATTGATGTAAAAAAAAATTTCGTCGCTGATGAACGGCAGTCGACGATCTGTTGGAAACTGGGTTTAAGGGTCGGCTGTTCTTCGTGCATGAAGAACACGAAGAACAGTTGAGAGATTTTTATATTTTTGGTTTTGATCGAAATAAGGAGAAGGGAAAAAATGAAATGTTGTTTTTGATTTTTGGCTTATATACTAAACCCATGAGACCCGTGACCCGATCCGACCCCCTCTAAGATTCGCGTGTTTTTGTTAAACAAAGGGGGGAATTACATTTTCGATCCCCCTATTTTTTAAACTCTCATTTTGTCCCTAAATTCCCATTTTAACTTCAATATCCTTTTAAATTTTACCATTTATTTGCTTTTTCTTTTAATTTAGCCCTTTTATTATTATTATATATTTTATTTATTTATTTATTTTATTATCTGTTTTTATCTAACATTCTAATTTCTTTTTTATCATAATTATTTTTTTCCTTTTTTCCCTTATTTATTTTATTTATTAAATACTATATTATATATATACATTTTTTTATTTTATTTTGTTTCTATTCTTTTCTTTTTGCTTTTTTTTTGTTTATATTTTTAATCTTATTCAATTCTATTTTCCCCTTATTTTTATTTTTATTCTATTTTGTTTTTCTTTATTTTGTTCTATTTTATTTTTATTTATTTTTCTTTTTTTTGAGATTAGTCTTTATTTACTATTATTTTTATTTCATTTTGTTTATTATTATTTAGCTTTTATTTGGGGCTTTTATGTTTTTATTTGACTTCCTTTCTTTATTGGTGTAATTGTTTATATTTAAATTTGTAATTAGTATTTTCATATTTATGCATTTTTTTCTCTGATTACTTCAATTCAATTAACCCTTTGTTTGCTTTATTTTATTTTATTTCTTTTAATTCATCATCATGCATTTTTTTTATTATCTTAATTCGATTCTTCACTTTATTACATCTAATACTTTTCTTGACTTTAAGGATATGTTTTAAAATACATTATAGGTAAGTAATTTGGATCATTGTTTTACCTTTTATTTTAACTTATCATTTTCTTAATTAAGACAACTGGAAATTAATTAGTACCGAAAGGACCAAAGAGCAGTTCAAGTGTGTTAATCATTCATTGACTGTAATCGATTCCTGAATCCGACACATCTTTGGTAGGATGCAGATCAGGTAAGAAATCAAGGTGTTCGATCAACCCATTTTTATTCTTAAAATAAATGATCGGTGGCGACTCTAACCATTCCATTCAAGTCGAAGTTCAATTTCGGGTCCACCCGAAAGATGGCCGCAACACTTTCTAATTTTCATTTTTTCCATACACCTCACCACTTCCACAATATTCACGTGAATCACCCTTCACGCAGCACTGATTTAGGGCGACTTATTAGTCGCACGATGAAACTATTGTCTTGATCGACGTCTACCGCGACAAATGGTACACGCTTCGTCATGGAAATCTCAAGGCTTTACGAATTCAGAGTTTCTTTTTTCAATCATCATCTGAAAGGTTGAGACCTGACATGGGGATTAACCGGAAATCACCTTTAGTAGCTGACGGCTAATTAAACAAGCTGATATATCTTCACCTGATGGTTAAAAGTAATCATCTAAGAATCCAGAGAAATCCAACCTTGCAGATTGCAGATACCTCGAGTGACATTGCATTTCTTTTCAAGCTTAGATGCCTTTGTGTCTCTTACACAAGACCGGATTGGATATTTTATTTTGTCATATGATAGAAAAATCCAGCCATCCCACAACAAGAACCACAAATTCAACGCCCCTTGTTCAACGGCTTAAACGTACACTTTTTCCTCATTTCCATCTGCCCAAACGAAACAGTTTGGTTCAATCTTTCACAAGTGAATTCACAATATGAATCCAGGTTAAGTTTTCAAGTTGTTTCTGCATTTACTTCCAAGGCAAGCACAGGATAAAATGAACAGAAATAGGAAAAAGAAAAGCTCACCTCTGAGTAACTGAATCATTTTATTTATTTATTTTTTCCACACAACTAGAAAAGCTTTAAAATAGATTAGCATAACTCATTATTTCTTGGGCACTTCAAAGCAGGTAAGGTATAGAATTTTCTTAAGCTGTTGCAATGGGAGCCGTTGTTTCTCTGGCGTTCATGGCTTCGAACCTCAGTTCCGAATTTCACTCCAACATATTGTAATATGTCATTTTTGTCCGGGCTCATTTAGCCCAAATAATTGAAAAATGTCCAAGTTACAGTCCAAAACATAACCCAAAAACCAAAACAGATTAGCCCATATTCAAGTTGGCCAAGCAGTTCAAAATATTAAGAAACATGGAAACCCTAGAGTTTGTGTAACCCTAGCCGCTGCTACATCTCAGCCCTTGGATCTACCAATGTTCAAGTGGTCTAGATCAACCCAAATTAGGGTTCCCACATTAGCTAATGCCATCGAACCTCCATGCCGTTAGATCTGGCTTGATCTGATGGACCTGATTGCTCCAAGACTCCTTGAGTGGCCAAACCATGCGCCAGTGAAGCGCGTGTAAAGTTTCAGGTGTCTCCAAGCCGTCCGATAGCCCCATCTTCAGCGCGTATGATGTACGCGAGACCACCCTTGTTCCTCCTCGCACCATGTGTGCATCCAACCTTAGCTAATGCCACATTAGCTAATGATCAAGTGGTCTAGATCAACCCAAATTAGGGTTCCCACATTAGCTAATGCCATCGAACCTCCATGCCGTTAGATCTGGCTTGATCTGATGGCCCTGATTGCTCCAAGACTCCTTGAGTGGCCAAACCATGCGCCAGTGAAGCGCGTGTAACGTTTCAGGTGTCTCCAAGCCGTCCATAGCTCCATCGTCAGCGCGTATGATGTACGCGAGACCACCCTTGTTCCTCCTCGCACCATGTGTGCATCCAACCTTCTTTCCTCTTTCATGCAAGACTCAACATAGTGACAAAAAAGAAAGCTAAAAAGAGTAGCAGAGATTAGAATTTTTGGGGACGATTTGTACAGATCTTTTTCTCATGGATTTGATTTTCTTTGGGGTTATATATATCAAGGAGATATTTTGTATTTTTTTGAATTAAAAAGAAAGGAGAAGTATTAGGAAGAAAAAAAATTGTAACCAGAAGCAAAAAATCAATACGAAACTGATATCTATTTCTCAAAGGTACGATATTTTCATTTCTTATTTAAATAAAAAGATATTTAAGTGTTCTTTTTTAAAAAAATAAGAAAAGAAAAACAAAAGGAGGACACTTTACCTTCTCAGTGTCACCGGAGAACGGGTTTCAGCAAGGAGGCTACGGCTGAGCCAACTTTTGCCTTTGTGAGACCATACCATAATAGGATTTTTCTAGAAAAAAGGATTTTTTTTTTTTTACAAAACCAAAATGAGAAAGTGGGAATTATAAAGCCAAATTAATGGCTTTTATTTTTTTCACGTATGAATGGCACCATTTGGCAACCATATCCATTAATGGGTTATTTATTATACAAGGCCTTGTCTTTTTAATATTAATGCTAAACAACCCACTCTCTTTTGTTTCTAATTTATTACCGTTTGTATTCATGCGTTTTAACTTTTTATATATTTATTTTAGTCCTTATTTTTTGGTTATGCGAGTTTTTATTTTATTTTATTTTGATGCCTTTTATTTTCTTTCTATTTATATTATGATTCTTACTTTTATGTGCTCTTACATTTTAGTCTTTATTTCATGCCTCTAATTTTTATGCCTTTATTTTTTAGTATTTTACATTTCAGTGCTTTAAATTATTTTATTTATATTTTAGCACCCTTTACTTTTACAATTTATCTTCCAACGCTTTAAATTTCAGCAACCTATCTTTATGCCTTTGTTTTACTTTTCTTTACATTTTGGTCCTTTGCTTATTCATGTTTATTTAGTTTCCAGCACTATTTTTGGTTACTTAATTTTAGTCATCATTTCATGCCATTATATCATATGTTTATAACTTACTTTATATGCATGTATACTAATCTGTTAAATATATATATATATATGATTATCATTATTATTCATGCATTTGAAATTAGAATTAATAATGAATTTTAGAATGAAATAGTAATATTTCTTTATTTTGATTAGAGTAAGGACTGTCTGCTTTAAGGCATGAGATGTCTTTCTTTTTTATAGGAAATAATTAAATATTATTGTTTTTCATCCTAAAATTCAAAGGTGTTGTTTAAAGGGATCCTAAATTAAATTAAATTCGAAGTTGTAAATTTCATTGCAAAGAAAACTAATTAATCGACTAGGTATCGATTTAGGGCGTTGTGGGGGTGTTAACCCTTCCCCATGTGTAATCGACTCCCGAACTCAATTTTTTTGGAACGTAGACCTAAAAATGTCATTTTGATAAAATTAAAATTAAATTTATTAAAATGACAACAGTTTTGGGTGTCCAATCACACCCTAATCGAAGATTGGTGGTGACTCCTCAAACTATTTTTTTAATTTTAAAAGAAAACACCAAATTAATCGAAATGAGATTTTTTAAATCACACTAAATTAAAAATTAAATTTGTTTTTAAGAAATCGTTTCGATAGCTTGGTGACTCTATTGGGGACATTTTTAGAGAGTCAAACCATTAGTCAATTAATTAATTGTCTTTGCAATGAAAATTACAAGTTCGTTCTACTTTATTTTTTGATCCTTGTTTAATTTAAATAAATTTTTGTTTGCAACTTGATTAACCACTAAATAGTTGGACTGATTTGCTTGCTAATGTTTTCAGATTAAATGTGTCTTTAAGGGAATTGAGAAATGAGTTTTATGTGTTGTGTGATTGTGTGTTTTTTCTTTTTTCCTCGCACACTGTGCACTTGATTATCATAACATGAGCTAAAACCCTGCCCCGTCCAATTTAAATAGGAATGAGAAACTACTCCCTTGTGGTTTTCACCTCCGTATGGGATAGTTGATCGCTCTTGGGGCTCACGCTTATGATCCTTATGATGGTTTTCACCACCGTATGGACATAAGGAGGTGTGTCCCCTCGAATTGAACTCGATCTGAAAGCCTGTGATTGACTAGGATTGAGGTTCTGGCAACCCAAGAGGGCATAAACAACGATGATTCAAGAACCTTTTACTTTATAGCCGAACCCAACATATATTGAACCTAGAACCCAAACCTTAAGAATCCCGTGAGGAGAGTACACAAGGAAAAGCTCTTTTGAGTCTTTTAATTTTTGCATTATAATTTTACTTTCCGAATAAATGTATGATAACTAGAGATCATGTGGTTAGGTTTATTTTTTCTGAATAAGCATGCGAACTAGATGTCATGGGGTTATGATTTTTATGTTAAACAAAGCAAGGGGGTAGAAATCATGTTTGGGTAGGATCTGTTAAAGCATGATTTGGTAGCCATCATGTGAGGGTAAGTTTTGTTGAGAAACTATATTATGCCCAATTGATTTCTTTATGATTACTCACTAATTTTCTTTTACCTTTTAATTTTATTTTGTTTTCATTTTTGTATTACACAATTCATTCCATGGTGTTGATCTGTGACCGATTTCTATATAAAAGGCTGGTAATATAAAACGAAGGGTTCAAAAAGAGGTAGAAGACAATACAGATGTTCTGAGATGGTCCGAGCAATCCTAAATTATAAAGGGAAATAGCTTAGATCTATCTGTGATATGTTTAAGCCTTGTAATCAAACTTCGTTTCTAATATAAAAGTTGTTATAAGGAATAGTTCCAGAATCAACACCTTGCATCTACATTTTACTTTTTGCATTGCATTTTACTTTTCACATTGTATTCTATTCATTCATAGTCATATTTTTCATATTCATTAATAAAATATCAACATTAATAAAAAGACTGTATGACATAATACTATAAACTTTCAAGCATACACACAATACCAAGAAAAAGGCAATGAAGGAGAGAATCGCCCAAATTGAGAAAACTTAACTAGAAATACAAGATAATATAAGAAAAGCTCAAGAAGTGATGCATGAACAAATGATGAAATACCAGAATGATATGACAGAAAAACTTGCAAGCATGTTACAAGGGAGAAATATAGATCGAGAAGAGACTCCAACTGTCGGTGATACCACCGAAAAACCTTTTTGCACACTCAGGCTTTGCAATGTATGCGGATCATGGAAAAGTTTCAACTGTTGGTGTTCCTATCGAAGAATCCCTATACCCTCCAGGCTTTACACCACCCCACGTTAGAACACAACAAGGAATGACTGTTCAACTAGGAAGAGTGCACATAAACTTACCTGGAATCTCTGTAAACTCACACCAAGCTGAAAACGTCCCAGATTTTGATAACGAGGGTAGAAAAGAGAAAAACAAATATCTAGAAGAGAAATAGAAACAATTGTAAGAGGAAATCAGGATTATGAAAGAAGACACTAACATATATGAGGTCGATGCTAAAGAACTGAGTCTAGTTCTTGATTTGGTATTGCCTCTTAAATTTAAGGTTTCAAATTTTGAAAAATTTGATGGCACGAGATGCCCTCTTCTCACATCACTATGTTCTATAGGAAAATGACTGGCTACATAGTGGGTAATCAACTGTTGATCCATTGCTTCCAAGAGAGCTTAACAGGTTCAACCATTCGATGGTACAACCAATTGAGTAGGGTTCATATCAGGTCATAGAAGGGTTTGAACAAAGCTTTTCTTGAGCAATATAAGCACGTGAATGATGTGAGGCCTAATGGAATCATGCTGCAAAGCATGAAGAAAAGTTCTAATGAGAGCTTCAGATAGTACGCTCAAATGTGGATGGATGTTGTTGTACAAGTTCATCCGCTGCTTGTGGAATAGGAAACCAACATACTCTTTATAAACACTTTAGGAGCTCATTTCATTGACCACCTAATAGGAAACTCATCCAAGATTTTTTTTGATTTGGTTACAACAGGGGAGATGATTGAAATGACAATCATAAGTGAGAGGCTTAATGGAGGTGAGTCTAGTAAAAAGCCGCCAGTGAAGAAGAAGGATAACGAAGTCAATAACATGAGGAAATATGACTCCAATAACATCATTTTGTCTTGACCTCAAGCCACAGGATCATCCAAAAAGAATTTTTCCAAGCAAGGAACAAGGGAGCCGAAGAAAGAAAGAGAGAATCCTTAGTTTGACCCCATCCCCATGTCATACAAGGAATTATTCTAGATCTTATATGATATACATGTGGTATCACCTTACCATATGTCTCCTCTGTAACCTCTCTACCTTAGATGGTATGATGCTAATGTCCAATGTGAAAATCACACAGATGTTTCTGGATATTCGATAGAGAGTTGCACCATCTTTAGAAGATTATCCAAAAATTAAGGCAAACAAATGTCATTAACTTTGGTGATAGTGAGCAACCAAACATAGCTCATAAACTACTACCAAACCATGTGTAACACCCACATAACAATGCATGTGACCTGATGCGATTCGAGTTATCGCATTAGGGCCATAGGAGCGACCCATATTAAAAATCCTTGAAAATTTTAAAATTTATGTTAAAACGTGTAAAATAATAAAATAAATTATAATTAAAATACAAGTTCAGAAAATCATTCATATACTACAAACAGAATAAAAATCATACATGTTTCAGACTCGAATATAAAAATAAAATACAACCTACATGTCCCATACTCACATGCACTATACTCTACAAGAACGCTGGTGGAACTCCAATACTGATGTCAATAATTGTACTTAATCAATTCTTTTAACCTGAAATAGTGAGTAACAGAGTGAGCTTTGGGAAGCGCAGTAATACATAACTACCAAGTGATGCTGAAGGACATGCAAATAATAGGCAATAAAAATTTTCCTTATTGATTCAGACATCTACAGATTTTTGTGATGAGCTGAGGTCCCTTTGATATTTAAGGTAGTAAAAGACATAAGGCTTAAAGTTCAGAAGGAACGTTCAGAGAACCACTTCAGAAGATCAAAATAAGGTGTCTAGTTTGTTCTCACATAACTAGTGAAAAGGTAAAAATCTTTTTAAAACAAAAACAATTTAAAATGTATTCTTAAAATTATATAAAACCCCTTCAACTGGACACCAATATGCAGTTCCCCAGAACTGCATCCACAAGGACTTACCCTATTCCCTTTGGGCTCAGGTGCTAATCTAAGGGAACACTTTGCATCCATAAGGTCTTACCATAGCCGAACCCTAGGTGCCCACCTGAGGGGAGTGCCCTCATGTCCATAAGGACTTACCCAAAACATGTAGTAGATGTGGTACCCTAATGAAGTACCTTAGGGTCCATAAGGTTATACCACAAGGCCCATTAGGGCTATGAGCCCACCCAAGGGTCACCTTAGATCTGTAAGGAATTACCAGCTCGATTGGTCTGA